CTACAAAATCTTCATTGCTTTCACTGTAATTTATTTTTTTATTATTTAGTTATGTTTTTAAAAGAAAAAAAACTACTATTGTTATAAATAACACATTCAATTGAACTAAACTATGCACGCCTATTTAAATATATTTACACATGGCTTCTGTATATCGTATATATTATTCATACCTTCGGTGTATAGGACGCAAACAGATTTCGACATCAAATTTTGGGGTAAAAAAAGTGCGTCTTATACACCGAAAAATACGGTAGTTATTGAATAAATGTCCAAGTAGTAACAGAGAAGGTAGCATATGATCGGACAAACATGTTCCAGTTGTTATTCTATCTGCATAAGTTGTTTTGAGCATTTATTTGTCAAAACACACACATACACACGTTTTATATAAAAGGGTTTGTTTTTGGTATAATCTTTTTCGAAACAGATTAACGCTTTGTTCAGACAATTTATCTATACTTGGTGTAAAGTCATGCTTCGTCACGTGCCAGAAGTTATAGGGCATCAAATTGTTCGACTGTCCAGAAATGGTATGAAGCAAACGGACATTGCCATAATAGTAGGGTATCCCTAGTGTACTGTATCCACAATCATGAAACGTCATCGTACTACAGGAAACGTTGTTCCAGGAAAGTCTACTGATAGACGCCGAAAAGCTATTCCTCGAGATTACCGTGTTTTGATCAGGTTAACAGATCAAAGTCGAAAAGTCTTGCAACACCTTACGACAACAGGAATAACAAAAACACATTCATTCCAGAGTACCCAAAAGAGCATTTAATAGCAGACTGACCAAACAAGTTTATTTTGCAAGAAGGGGTATCTGTAAGCCGATATTAACCAGATTTCACCGCTGTCATCGTGTTACTTGGGCAAAACAGCACGCCAACTTACAGTTAGGACACTGGCGACATGTCATCTTTTCAGATGATTCCTGTTTCCACTTGTTAAAGCTGATGGTAGGATTCGTGTTCGTCGTTTGCCTGGAGAACAGATGAGGGAAGACTGTCTTACCCACAGGGAACACACAGAAGGTGGTGCAGTACATGTTTGGGCAGCTATTCATCACGGTGGAAAAACTGCTCTTCATATCCTACAGGGAATCGTCAATGGCGCTTCCTACAGGCATCACATGGAGACGATATTTGCGCCATATGCTAGGGCAAGGTTTGGCAATAACTTTATGTTCCAGGATGACAATGCCACTGTCCACTGTGTATCTATTGTACAGGATTAGCTCAACCAGGAGGAAATTACAATATTGCCATGGCCAGCAAAGTCTCCAAATTGTAATTCCATTGATAAATTTTGGGCAGAACTGAGCCGAAAGATTGCTAACTACAATCCTAAATCAGCTACTGTGACCGAGTTCCAGTGCCTTCTAATGTCAAATTGGGATGAAATCACGGTGGATTACATCAATAACCTCACCGACAGCATGCCACATCGTCTTGCGTAGATTATTAAGAGTACGAGGAGGACCAACCAAGTACCGAATGTTTAATATGAACTGATATAAAGTTAGAGCTATTTATAATAATTTGATGTTATATTTTGCCATTATAAGCGTTTTCGTAAAGTTTTGTTGTGATAGGTGAAATACTGAATTACACATCTGTCTACAGGTGTTTAATAAAATTGTCTGCTGTTCTAATAAATCGTTCATGATGTCCATAAAACCTGTCTCGTTATACAAGTTACACATGTAGATGTTTAATATAACACGCTAAATGTATTTGTAGTCCATTTTAATAATAATGATCTTACTTGTTACAAAATATGCAAACATTTTGGCCAAGATAAAATCACACCCTGCATTTTAGGGACCGTGTGTGCATTATAAGGGCGACGGTCAAATTCAATTATCTAGTCAGAAAAGATTGAAAGAATGTAAATAATAAAATAATATTTTTACAAATAATAAGTATAGAAGTTATATATAATAGTATATTTGTTTGTTTGTTTGAAGATATGCACAAAGCTACACAATGGGCTATCTGTGCTCTGCCCACCACGGGTATCGAAACCCGGTTTCTAGCGTTGTAAGTTCGCAGACATACTGCTGTGCCACTGGGGGGCATAATAATAGAAAAACGTTTTTAAATTTGACTTAAAAATTCAAAATCCACACGAACTAGAGCATTTCGAAATTTTTATTTTCGGGTGTAATGTAGAAAAAGTTTTGATAACCAACTTTCTTTTTACCACACTTTTGTTATTCCAGGTTTGAAAGCTACTATTTTACACAACTTATCGTCTTTTACAGCTTATTTTATTCTACGTTTCATATACCGTTTTTATTTTGCCACGTCTTATTTTATTACTGGTTTGATACCTACTGTTTTATTTACATCTTATTTTATTCCAGGTATATGTTTTTCTTCCCAGTTATTCCCAATATTCTGTTCACCACATAATTATTAACCCGTGAAAATTTTAAAAAACTGCTAATATTATTACACGTTATTCTACTGTTAAGGCGTTTAATGATTGTTTTGTTTTGTTATTGTTTTCATCTTTTCAGGTCCCTAGCCTTCTTCACTGGAAACCCTTGTTAGTTTTGTTACTAAATACAGGGGATACACTGGAGTAGATTCTTCTCACATGTGACTGAATTTATACTTGTTTGGTACCGTATGCAACACATGAGTTTAGTCTAGGTACGAGGTCCCAGGTTGAAGCATAGTTGTCCTTAATTTTCAGTTGATGACAAAAGGAGACAGCAGTCAGTAGCACCCGCCACCTCCGCTTCTACTCTTCAACCGAATATCGGGGATTGACTGTTGTTTCTGTAACGTGTCCACAGCTGAAAGTATGAAACATATTTAGTGGCACATCGCGGGATCTAACTTCAGACGTTTCGATTCGCAGCCTCACACTTTTCTACCTGGAAAGAGCCAACGTGTTTTCTGGTGAACTTTCTTTATTTTGAGCATGATACCTCTTGTTGTAATGTTTTACGTCGTGATAATTCAAGCGTTTTTTTTTTTTCTTTCACAGTAATAATATATTTATACACTACTATCTTGGACTGTATTTACTTTATATGTAGATCATTCATAGTTTTAATTTATTATACACAGCAAATGTAAACTCAGAGACAAGCCTTATAGATTATTGGTTTCAAATAGT